ATTGCAGCCTCTTGCGATTAGCTAATCGCAAGTTTTAAATTGCGATTCAATTCCGATTAATCGCACAGCCCTAGTTCTCCACAATTAAGTTGTTCCAAAACAAGCGTAAGAATTGTGTCGTTTCAGCTAGCATTTTAGATAACAACAAGCAGCAAAAGTAATTTTTTGAGTGTAGAGTGATGCATGTTCTGTGCTGTTTTCAGGAGAGAAGCCCTTCACCTGTACGTCCTGCGATGCGCGGTTTGCTCAGAAGTGTCAGCTGGTCTATCACTGCCGCATGCATCATGGAGAAGAGAAGCCGTATAAATGTGAATTCTGTGGAGCAGCTTTTGCCACATCTAGCAATCTGAAAATTCACATACGGTATGTGTGAAAATAATTCATAAACAACTTATTGAGTTGTATTCCAAGTTATTTTGTCAGAATGTAGTCTACTGGATAATCTGGTTTGCACACATATCAATAATAAATAAATTAGTGGAATAAAACGCTTGTATGAAGATGTGGTTTTTGCTGTTTTCTCTCAGGAAGCACAGTGGTGAGAAGCCGTATGAATGTGGAGAATGTGGGAAGCGCTTCACTCAGGCCAGCACTCTAATGTATCACAAGCGGCGACACACTGGAGAAAAACCATACATCTGTGACACCTGCGGCATGGCCTTCGCGGTGTCCAGCTCACTCATCGCACACAACAGGAAACACACGGGTGGGTTTGTGGTGAATTCAGAAAAAAGTCATTTACTAACTAAAAACTAAAATCATTTAATACTGTATCGACACCCCTGGCTGTTTTTAAATGATGCATACATTTATGTTTTAGGTGTGACTCCGTATATATGCTTGGATTGCGGAAAGCCTTGCCTAACTGCAGGTGAACTTCGGAAACATATGGATGTCCACAATGGTAAATTTGGTTTTCTTTTTGTTGACTTTTCGAAATGAGAAAAGAATTAATGATATTTTGAAAGAAAATCTCAATTGTGTTCTTGTTTAATACACCTTTCTGTGGTTTAGTTAGTTAAATATGGACCTATTCCACTGCGTGGTACAGTATGGTATGGTACGGCTCTGTAAGCTTTTATCGTTTCCACTGTCCAAAGGTACCTAAAAGCGAACCCTTTTGAAAGGGTACCTAGCACAACAAATTGGTACCCTGTGCCTTGTTATTATTTTCTAGGCTATATAAAGCATGAGCGGCTTCGCATTCTGCAGAGAGCTCACCGCGCGTCTATATTTAAATAACAAACTTTCTTGAGCTCATATTAATTAACATGCGCGTGATTATAAAGTGCTTCTGACGTCCGATCCTTTCAGAAACAGACAAACGCGAGAGTGAAACGTGAAAAAACAAAGGAGCAAATGATTTTTTGACAATGCTTTCTAACAAGAGGCTACATGTGCTGCTGAAGATTACACAGATGAGAGGTTTGCCCTGACTGTGGGCTATAAGTTGTGTGTTTTTCAACCTAAATAAGGACTAAATGTATGCTGTGTGTAGTTTTTCTGTAATTGGTAACATATCGGTGACTGTAAGGGTCTGTATGTGTTTATATATGTTGCATTTATTTATTTCATATAATCGCAGACTTTACAGTAGGCTATTTCACACATCATTGATCTGCAGTTATAATTAAATCATGTTCATAAAAGTTAGTAACAAACATTTATACACAAGTATTTATGTGTATATAAAGCATCTGTTTTGTAAGAAGAGCTTCTCGTATAATATGTGAACGACCAATACAGATTTACTTTGACATTTCCTCGAGCGAGAATGACGTCGACTGAAACTGTTGTACACCACTTCCACCATTGGTACTCTTTTGTCTGTGGAAACACAAGCCTGATAAAGGTGACCCGTACTGTACTGTACTGTACCACTCTGTAGAAAAAGGCCAGTAGATACACTACAGGCTTTTTAGTAGCACCACTGATTTACAAAGGATGTACCGGGTAAAAATGCGTTTTCCCATTTTAAAATATGTTTTTTTTTTATCTTGCAATTTTAAGAAATAAAAGTAAAAATCCACCTTTTAAATATTTTGATTACAGTTTAATATAAAACAAAAATATGTTTTCCAGCATATATTTTGTGATTTAAAAAATAATATTGGAAAAAAAAGAAAAGAAAAAAGTAGTAAAAAATTTTCAAGATATTAAATTGATCTTCAGAAAGATTGTTCAGTCAGGAAAAAAGTTAAAATCTATACAAAAACACATGTTTTTTTCTCTTGTAGGAGCAAGAAAAGTAATTTGTAATCTGTGTGGAATCATATTTTCAGACATATACAGCTTGAAGAAGCACAGCATCTTGAAACACAATGGTAAGTGTTAAATACTTTCTTTCCTGTTCTTTCTTTGTCCATCATTCTCTCCACAGTATAACCATCAAATAATTAAAGACTTGAATTGACATATTACTCTGAATCAGGGGTGTCCAAACTCAGTCCTGGAGGGCCATTGTCCTGCATATTTTAGTTCCAACCTCAATTAAACACACCTGAACCAGCTAATCAAGCTCTTTCTAGGTATACTAGAAACTTCAAGGGAGGTATGTTGAAGGAAGTTGGAGCTGAACTATGCAGGACACCGACCTTTCAGGACCGAGTTTGGCCACCCTTGCTTTAAATAGACCATCCTTAAAAGTTCTCAGAATAAGTCTTTGTGCATCAATATTACGGGTGTGTTATATAGTACTGTACTGAATTGAATACAAAGAGAAAATAATCTGGGAAAACAAAAAAAAAAAAACACAACTCAAAAGGGATTTTATCACAGATAAGTTTATAATGCTAGAGCCCATTTAAAGGGCTAGTTAACCCAATTCTGTCATCATTTACTAATCCTTGATGTTTTTTAAACCTGTATCTCAACACAAATCAAATTATTATGAAACGGGGTGACACGGTAGCGCAGTGGTTAGCACTGTCGCCTCACAGCAAGAAGGTCGCTGGTTCGAGCCCAGCTGGGTCAGTTGGCATTTCTGTTTGGAGTTTGCATGTTCTCCCCTTGTTTGTGTGGGTTTCCTCCGGGTGCTCTGGTTTTCTCTTACAGTCCAAAGACATGCATAAGTGAATTAAACAAACTAAATTGTCCGTAGTGTCATTGTGTGTATGGATGTGTGCGTTTCCCAGTACTGGGTTGCAGCTGGAAGAGCATCTGCTGTGTAAAACATGCTGGATAAGTTAGCGGTTCATTCCGCTGTGGTGACGTGCTGTGGAGAACATGCAAACTCCAAACAGAAATTGACTTTCATAGTATTTGTTTTATTATGGCCTTTTTTCCTACATTCTACATTCAACATTCTAAAAATGTTCTTCTTTTTTTACCATACAATGTGATGGTATTATTCTCCTCACAGATTAACCATCAAATATTAAAAGACATATTGTTAACATTACATATTATTACATATTACTTTAAACAGACCAGGCATAACCCTCAAAAACTTTTTAAAATGTTACAGATGTTTTAAGTATTACAGTACTGTACTGAATACAAAGAGAAAATAATCTGGAGCAACAAAAAAATTAAAAGCATAACTCAAAAGAGAATTGGCTACATATAAGTTTATAATGCTAATACCAATTTAAAGGGCTAGTTTACCCAAAAATTACAATTCATTTAACATTTACTCGCTCTTGACATTTTCCAAACCAGTTTGTTTAACACAAAATAAATAAAACATATGAAATGGGTAAATATTGACTTTTATATTATTTGTTCTATTATGGATATCAGTGTTGTCTTTTTTTCAGCATTCTTCATTATCTTCTTTTGTGTTCTACAGAACAAAAAAAAAACTCAAACTGATTTAGAACAATTTAAAGATGAGTAAATGATGACAATATAGTCATTTTTGGGTGAACTATTAATTTAACATTTTTCAGTTCATATTTAATTAATGTTGTTGTTGTTGTTGTTCTTTCACCCAAACTTATTTTGACAAAATATACATATCATATTTTTTATCTAAACACAAAAACTGGTTAAAAAAGCAAGCCTAATGTTATTTTCATAATAGATAAAAATGCATGAAGCCAAACATACCCCTCAACCAATTTTCACTACAGTTGAAATAAGAATTATTAACCCCCTTGAATTATTAGCCCCCCTTTTTATTTTTTCTCCAATTTATTTTTAACTGAGAGATTTCTAAAGCATATTTCTAAACATAATAGTTTTAATAACTCTTTTCTAATAACTGATTTATTTTATCTTTGCCATGATGACAGTAAATAATATTTTACTAGATATTTTTCAAGGCACTTCTATACAGCTTAAAGTGACATTAAAAAGCTTAACTAGGTTAATTAGGTTAACTAGGCAGGTTAGGGTAATTAGGCAAACTATTGTATAACGGTGGTTTGTTCTGTAGACAATCAAAATAAAAAATAGCTTAAAGGGGCAAATAATTTTGACCTTTAAATAGTTCTTAAAAAAATTAAAAACTGCTTTTTATTCTAGCTGAAATAAAACAAAAGACTTTTTCCAAGTGAAAAAAATATTATCAGACAAACTATGAAAATTTCCTTGCTCTTTTAAACATTTGGAAAAATTTAAAAAAGAAAAGAAAAAATAATTTAGGGGGGCTAATAATTCTAACTTCAACTGTATATATGCATTATTTGTAGCGCAGCTTTATTATTAAAATGATTAAACTCCTTTTTACAAAATGTAAAAAAAAATGTGTTTCTGGTGTTCCTAGAGTGTGTATGTGGAGTTCCAGCTCAAAATATCCCACAAATAATGTTTTAACTCTTTGAAACTGCCCCCTACAGGCTTTGATCCTAATTGTGCCATTTTGGTGACTGTGGCTTTAAATTCAAATGAGATTGTGCTCGTTTCAAAAAGTGGGTGGAGCTACAAATGTGTCAGCATAGTGGCAGATTCAAAACAGGACTAACATCCTATGCTAATGAGGGAGAGACTAATGGGTGGGGCTTTCCCCCTATAATGACACGGGAGAATGTCAATCAAAGTATTCTGTTGACTGATTTAATCAAGTGTGAATATAAAAAATTTAATTAATACCTTTTTACCATTAGAAGCTGGTTATATTCACACACTTTCAACACGCTCTATAAAAGCTTTTTTTTTTTTTTTTTTTTTTTTTTTTGCATAAAATGTCCCCTTAAGTTTTTTTTAAAAGACATTCAACCCATATCTGTAACTAAAGTAATATATCCAATCTAAATATATATTTTTAAAATCATTTTGCAGTCGTTCCAGAACTAGAGACGACTCAGACTTCCAAAACCGACCCGACGCAGTGTCCCCTCAACATCCCGATTGACCATCAGGGCCTGATCGCGCGTGTTCGTTCAGCTCTTGTCGATTCACAAGACCACGAAATTCAGATGGAGCCTCCACTGCCTATATTGCCTCCAGAAACGTCTCTCATCATCCAGCAGTCGGCAGAGCCTCAGATGATCATCCAACATGCAGACGGCAGCGAGCCCTCTATGATCTTCCAGCACGCAGAGGCATCTGAAGCTCCAATGCTCATCCAGCACGGAGAACCCGGAGAGCAGGTGAGCTACGTGGTGGAGCAGTACGAGATCCCAGCCACCGCCGAGATGGAGCACACGCAGATCGTCATCGTTCAGACCATCGATTAAATAAATAAACGTCAGCTTTTACTTCCGTTTTAAATCTGTGTTCTCCATCCGTCTTGTTTTCTAAGCTTGTGAATGATAAACTCTTTTGAGAGTGTGTGGAAATGAGATTCTCTCTTTTTTTTTCCATTCAGAACATAATTTGGATCACTTATACACACTCGGAAATAAAGATCAAAAATTGGACACCTTCACAGCAGTGTTTCTCAACCCTGTTCCTAAAAGCACACCGACAGTACATATTTTGGATGTCTCCTTTATATAATCCATTCATTTAAGGTTTTGGAGTCTCTACTAATGTTCTGTTGAGTTGATTCAGGTGTGTTTGATTAGGGAGGGGTTGAATATGTGTACTGTTGGTGTGTCTTTAGGAACAGGGTTGGGAAACACTGCTTTAGAACAGTGTTTCTCAACCATGTTCCTGGAAGCCCACCAACACTGCATGTTTTGGATGTCTCCTTTATCTGTCACACCCATTACAGGTCTCTCAGTTTCTGCTAATGAGCTGATAATCTGTGTGGTTGGTTAAGGAGACATGGAAAATGTGCAGAGCTGGTGGTCCTCCAGGAACGTGGTAGAGAAACACTGCTTTAGAATACACTTTTGTACCTTTAAGTTACTATAAGGTACACATTTGTACTTTTTGAGTGTTGAAATGTACCTTTAGGGACTTGTTAGGAACAAAATTGTACAGTGACAGATTTTGCACCTTTATTTCTGAGAGACAGATGTGTTTTCTGAAATGAAGGGAAGGCCAGATTTGGGTTAAGCTATAATTATAAAAGCAAAAGCATTTCGGTTTTGTATGTTTGAAAAGGCTTTTTGTATTTAATTGAAAAGACAGTACATCTATATGCTTTACAGGTCCTCCAGATGTTTTCAACTGTGTCTTTTAGAAGTATGATATGTAAATAGCTATAATGTTATATATATATTTGACCCAGTGTCTGACCTGTTTCATAATGATGTGAAATCATTCGGATGCTCTAACAAACTGGGCAACTTTTTATAATAAATCATCTCACGTATGACGTAATTGTTGTGGCTGATGTATATTTGAAAGTAATGGATTAAATGGCGTTATTGAAGACCAATGGTAAGTCATTCTCAAGATTTAGTGTTCGTTTCTTCATAAAATGGTGATGATAATACATAAATGGGTAAGTTTCCGGTCTCCTTGTAGGTTCTTGTTTGTTTTTGGGGGTTTTTAACTTTATATAAAAAATTGATCCACTGAGTATAAATAAACAGTAACAAATATTTTTATTTATTTATTTGATTTTGACCATTTAAATTCAAAAACAGTCTATTCCTTGTTATTTGTACGTACTGATATATTTTAAATATGTTAGCAAGCTGTTTACTATTGTTTTATTATAAGTGCAATGCTACTTTCAAGGCGGCTTCTCCCCAAATGATTTTTTATTTAGTCATTCTTTTCAGTTTTAAAAATCATATTTCACTCCTATTTCTATATACATTTGTTAACGATACAATTTACAAAAGTGATTTTATAGGCACTGAAAGCATTTTACAATCAAATCCAGTTAAATCCAGTTAATTAAAAATTAAAAAAAATAAAATAAAATATATATATATATATATGTATATATATATATATATATATATATATATATATATATATATATATATATATATATATATATATATATATATATATATATATATATATATATATATATATATATATATATATATATATATATATATATATATATATATATATATATATATATATATATATATATATATATATATATATATATATAAAAATATATATATATATATATATATATATATATATATATATATATATATATATATATATATATATATATATATATATATATATATTTAAAAAAAGAAGCATAATGCATGATGCTTTGTAGTTTATTTTAATAAGTACTTTAAATTATTTAATATTATAAATAAATAAAAATTAAAGGCATGTATTCAATACTTTTTACTTAATTTTTAAAATTTTATTTTATGTATTTATTTTTATTTAATCATATTTTAATATTTATGCTTATTTATTTATTTATTTATTTATTTATTTATTTATTTATTTATTTTATCTGTTTAGATTTTTAGTTTAGTTTAAGTACTTCAAATGCTTTAATATTATATCATTTTAAATTCTAAATTACAAAAAATTAAGTTGATAACCAGGCTTAATATCACTCCTTTATCCTTTGGGCTATTATTATTATTATTATTATTATTATTATTATTATTATTATTATTATTATTATTATTACACATGAAATTGTCAGATGTCTAAGTGGGTGAATGCTGCAATTGAAATCTCCCAACACATAAAAGTTTTAACTGACTATATATCACACAAGACCTCCAGTTGAAATAAAAATACTTCTGCGTCTGTTAACAAAATAGACACAATATCATAATAACATTGTCCTGTCTATCTTTCCTCAGTTTGTGGCACATCCAAACTGTCAGCAGCAGTTGTTGACGATCTGGTACGAGAATCTGTCTGGTCTTCGGGAGCAAACCACTGCGGTCAAGTGTCTGGTTGTGTTGGTGGTGGCGCTGGGACTTCCCCTGCTCGCCGTGGGCTATTGGTTTGCCCCGTGTAGTAAGGTAAAACTCTATCAAGCTTCACAAAACCTCAACACTTCCAGCTCCTACAACACATTCCCCATTAATTATCAGTAGTATTGTCTGTTGTATGATGAAACTTGTTTTGTTATTAATCATATTTGTTGATCTGCTTTCTCCATCTGTTTCTCAGCTTGGTAAAATCCTGCGCAGTCCTTTCATGAAGTTTGTGGCTCACGCGGCCTCCTTCATCATCTTCCTGTGTCTGCTGGTGTTCAACGCGTCTGACCGCTTCGAGGGCATCACCACGCTTCCCAACGTCACTGTCACTGACCACCCGCTGCAGATCTTCAGGGTCAAGACCACTCAGTTCTCATGGACAGAAATACTCATCATGGTCTGGGTGGCAGGTAGGGATGTGGGCTGTTTATCACCTATGAGCTGGTTTACATACACACCAATATGCTGATCAAAATGATTCGCCCTCCTGTGAATTTCAGTTTAACAAAGTAAGGGATTTTTCACTGTATTTTTTTCACACAATATTTATTTATTTTTTTGTTTGTTTGCATGTTTAATTATTTATTTATTTATTTATTTATTTATTTATTTATTTATTTATGTTATTTGTTTGTTTACATGTTTATTTGTTTGTTTGTTTGTTGACTCCTTGTTTGTATATTAGTTTGTTTGTTTGTTTGTTTGCTTGTTTGTCCATTTGTTTGTCTGTTTGTTTACATGTTTATTTAATTATTTATTTATTTTATTTGTTTGTTTATTGCATTATTTGTGCATTTGTTTATTTATTTATTTGTTCACTTCTTTATTTATTTGTTTACATGTTTATTTGGTTATTTAATTATTAATTTATTTTATTTGTTTGTTTACTTGTTAAATTATTTGTTTGTTTTCATTTGTTTGCATATTTATTTGTTTGTTTGTTTGTTTGCTTGTTTATTTATGGGTTTGCTTGTTTATTCATTTGTTTGTTTGTCTGTTTGTATGTTTATTTAAATATTACATTTTTTGCTTATTTTGTGTATTTATTTGTTTATTTGATTGTTTATTTATTTGTTTCTTTGTTTGTTTGTAAGTGTATTTATTTATTACATTTTTTGTTTATTTGTGTATTTGTTTGTTTACTTGT